GTGACAGGATGTAATGGCATGTGATACAAAAATATATGAACATTTTAATACATTTGAAAGCTTTATAACGGAGGTATCTTTTAATAATAGACATCTGCAGTTTAAACTTAAAAGTTACTTCTATCAAACATGTTGTTTGTAGCTGCACCGAATAGTTCAGAAATGTGCACTTATGCTTGGTGTTCAGAGTTGTATACTTTGAGAGTTTATTTTTGGACATTCTGAGAAGTCTGGGTTGAAACCAAACGAGTTCAGTAAACAAGCTGTTACCAGATAAAGCATAAGGCAGTAGTATACTGTTGTCTAATCTGTTGTCTTGGTTATATCCCAGCATCACATCCTGTTTAGTAGGGGGGATGTAGCATCAGGTAAATGCTAAGCGGTAGGAACGTTTCTGCTGGGTTGTTGTGGCGGGGCACTCATAATAAAGGACACTCATTGGAGTAATGGCGCGTCTCGTGTCTGTGAGTTATGCCTCCAGTCAAATAACATCCATAACCTCAAATAACGGAACAATTAGGACACGAGGATCTTTGAGTTTGGACTGATCAGCATGTTCTGTTTTTCAAACATGCTGAAGAGGTTCAAAAACTAACAGTGAGATTAACACAATCTCATCATGTTGCTTCCATGTGCTGCACATTTGTTTTCCGTCAGTTTTCTTAGTGTCACAAAATAAAACCATAAATACTCCTAAGAAACTATTAAATTGTTCATGTTTGTGAACACTTGCTACTATATTGAGAATGTGTTTTGTCTTACGCAGTGATCCAGGTAACGATCTACACCGCAGGCTGCAGAAGCTGCAGAGTCGTTTCACCTGGGATCTGAAGAAGGAAGACTTGGAGTTGGACGACCTTAGCAAGCAGCTGCAGCATGATATAGACCTGCAACTGGGGCAGCGGGGCGCCCTGGCCCACTCCTACAGGTTCCTGTCTTATGTGAGGTAAGCAGTGCAGAACATTGAACAGGAACCCTCAGCTAAAAGCCTTTGTTTGTGGGACATTCAAAGATAAAATCATCATAATTGGGCACAAAACAGCAACAAAGATGGAAAAGAACAAGATTCAACTGTGCAAGCAGGCGTTGCTTCTGTGAAGCTGGCTTTTTACATGCACATTATTGCCAAAAATATTCACTCACCCATCCAATCACTGAATTCAGATGTTCGATTCACTTTCATGTCCACAGGTGTTGTCATGGTCCTGGGTCTTTTGACCCAGCGTTTTAAGTTTGAGTTTATTTTGTTCATTAGGTTATCTAAGTTCATTTGGTTATTAGACTCCTTGTGTTTTCTTCCCCTGTATTTAAGCTTCCCCTCACCCTTCGTGTTTCATGCTGCGTGTCTTATGTTATCAAGTTTGTATTATTATGCCTAAGTGTTTCTAGTTATTATTTTCCCCTCGTGTTTCCAACCATGTTAAATCTCCCCTGCTCTTCATGCGTTTCATGTCTGTGTCTTACGTTGTCAAGTTCGGGTTGTCATGTCTGTCTCATTATGTTTCCTGTTTTATTGTGAAGAGGTCTGGTGTTCTGTGTTCATCATGTTCAGTTTTACTCTCCCACTGTGACGTCATTATGTTCATGTGTGCCAGCTGTTTCCTCATGTGTCTCCACTTCCCCTAATCACCTCCTGTGTATTTAAGTCCTCTGTTTTCAGTGTGTGATTGTCAGGTCGTCTGTTGTCCACGCCATGTTCCTTCCATCTCAGTTTCTTGTCTAGGTTCTTCTTATTGTTTGTTTAGATTTCCCAGTTTAGGTTTGTGTTAATTTTGCTTCAGTTTGCCTTGCCCTTTGTTTGTACCTTTTTTACCAGCCATATTAAACGGCTCGCTTTTTGTTAACATTCAAGTTTTGTTCCCTGTTCCTTGGAGTCTGCATTTTGGGTCCTTTTTCAATTCATACAGTCTGCCCTCGCCAGACTGTGACAGGTGTAGAAAATCAGCACCTAGGTCGCTCCCAGGAGCTCAGTGAATTTCCAGCTTTTAACCGTGATAGGATGTCACCTGTCCAGTCATAAACGTTCCTCTTTATCCGACTGTTAGTGGAATTAGAACAAGGTGGAGGAGATTGGGAGGAAGTGAAGCGGGGTCAGTGAGGATCATAGTGCAGAGTCAATCGCTGCACACCTCCAAACATCAACATTGCGTACAGAGCTTTAGGAAATATGTTTCCATGGCGAACAGCTGCATGCAAGCCTTACATCACCAAGCATCGATGCGTGAAGCACGCCGAGCTCTAGAGACGTGTTGTCTGGAGCGACCAATCACGCTTCTCCGATGGAGGAGTCTGGGTTTGGTGGTTGCTAGGAAAACAGCACAGTGTGACCTCACAAAGGTGCTTCTGAAAGAATGATCAAAAATTCCCATAAACACTCCCAAGCCGGTGGAAGTCCTTCCCAGAAACGCTGAAGCTGGTGGGCTGACATCGTATTAAACCCCTTGGATCACGAGTGGGAAGTTCATGTGTGGGTGAAGTCAGGCGAGCAATTACTCTTAATAATATAATGTCTCTGCGCCGCAAAGTTTCATGGCTTTACAGGTACAAAGACGTGTCAAAACCCTGAAGACGCTGGAGCACTGTGAGTTATTCCTGTTTGTTGTCCATCCTCAGGTATCTTCAGGGTAAACCAGAGGAGGCGCTGTCGCTACTCACTGAGTCAGAGGAGAAGACGAGGGAGTGTTACGGACAGGAGAGCGAGCTGCGGCTCATTGTGACGTACGGAGACCTGGCTTGGCTGAAATACCACACCGAAGACTACGTACAGTCCCAGACTTACTGTCAGAGAGTCGAGGATATACTGGCATGTATACACCTTCAGAAACACGACTGGTTTAACTCTAAACACGTTTTTAACACCCACCCATAAACGCTGTTATGGATCTAGAGGCGCTGACTATAATAAAAACCTTTACATCTAAAGAACCCCTGCCTGTAGCCTTCATGGCTGTTATAATATCCAGACACTGATATGTTCATAAAGACTGTCACCGAAACACAAACTTCATCTCTCTTACAAACATTGTACGCACAGCTCGCGCTGCCACTGAACGAAAACACGTTCGAAGGATTTGATTTTGGTTCAAAACTTATAATAGTCAGCTGTGGAGCGGACGATCACTGAACACATGTTCAAAACATCATTTCATCATTTCTGGAGCATCAGGGTATCCATGAACAGCTGCTCCAGATGTTTCTGCTCCAGAAACTGAATGAAAATATTTTTAATGTTAGATTTCATTTTTTACATGACATTTTGCATATTAATGATCATAAACTGACCTCGCAGCCCAAAGTTCGTCAATGGTTTCAGTCATTATGTCCTGTTTATAAGGTTGAAGCCTGCTGTCAGCTGAGGCTGAAGAAGTCACGTGATGATGATGAAACATTTCTCCCACTGAAAACGTCCAGATGAACAGAATTAACTTTTCTGGGCTTTAACTTTAATCTCGGTCAAACCGATTTACTCAGAAGCAAAAACAAAGAAGAAAACAAAAGACAACAAAAAAGCTGAAATAAACACAAAGATTTAGAAATCATCAAAATGAAAACAATGTGCTGGGAGTCAGGCGTTCTCACTGGCTCTAGTGAGCCTCAGCCTCCGGTCACCTGACAGTTGGTGCTCCATCAAGCAAAAAGGTGATGTGTTGATAAATGCAGCATGTTTACAAATCGACTGTTTATTCTGTGTCACAGAAACAGTCATATTTCAAACGTTACTCGCTGCTCTTCTCCGATGCTGCTGCTAAGTTTTGGACAAAATGCATTCTGGGATATTTGGCTGAGCCAGGCCCACACAAGTCACAACGTTGCCTGCTCGAGGGAATGGGCGGAGCGGGAATACATCGAGGCGCTTTGAGTGTACTTGACTTTGATGTTTGAACTGGAACAGTACAGCCACTGATGAGGTTTCACAACTCCACGAGAACACATATTGTGAAAGGGCCCTGGCTTTGCATAAACACTGGAAATCAGCCAAGACTGACAACACCTAAACCTCCATGTTAGTTTAATATAAAGAGACAGCTCCATGTTAGACCTGTTACTGGACCACAGAGTGTGCAGGTTACCTGAGGTGTTTCTACAGGATCCAAACCTGCGATCACTCACTTACACGAAGACCCTGTTATAGCGCACGCTGCCAAACAAAACAAACAAGTTCAAAAGTGTTGCATGATTCCTTTCTGGACCATGTGTATGGATATCAGACCATCTTTTCAGTTTAGCAACCAAACACTTCAGGATATTTCTGTGACAACTATAACTTTTGAAACATAAACTGCATATAACGAATGAGACAAACTAGACTAGTTTGTGCATTTGTGGCTTCTCGGCTGAAAAGTTGATAAATGTTCAGACACTGTCAAAGAATTAGCTGCAATCAAATCTATTTCTGTTAAATATACTGTGACTCTGCAGGTGAACCATCCGCCTGATCCTTCCACTGACCTCCATCCAGAAGTGTACGGGGAGAAGGGCTGGACCTTTCTTAAGTTCTCCAGTTCTTACTATACCAAAGCTGAAGAATGCTTCTGCAAAGCTTTGGAGCTGCAGCCTGATGACTGGGAGTGGAACACTGGCTATGCTATCGTCCTCTATCGCACAGAACAGGTACAATCTATCAGCCAATCAGCCTTTCGGTTTAGCATATAAGCAGTTATCCTGCTGAAGCAGACAGTCCATACGATTCTCCTGTATTAACCATTGTAGTCATTAACTTTGCAGTCGTGTTGTTGTTGATTCTTTGAGAGGTAACACCCATTAAATAAATTACATCCAGCAAACTTATGGAGCTCTTATCTTAAGAATGTTAATGATTGGTATCCCGAGGAATCACCAGCCACTAAACGGCTTCGTCAAGCCCTGGAAATAAATCCGGATGATGGCGTTTTGATGTCCATGCTGGCTCTGAAGCTGGTCCACGACACGAACAAACACACAGAGGCTAAAGGTTTGGTGAAGAAGGCCCTGGAAGTCGGACAGGACAACACTCAAGTCACCCGCTACGTAGCAAAATATCTCCGCAACCAGGTAAAACATCTGTAGCTTATAGGAAAAACATACTGGTCTTGATGGCGAATCAAGGGACTCGAGATAAAATATTGGTTTTATGCTTCTAACGTCTCGTCTCTCCAACGTTACCGTGACTCGTCCCTGTTCTAGGATCAGGTGGATGAGTCTATCGATCTGCTGAAGAGTATGCTGGAGAAGAAAAGCCAGTCATCTTTCATTCATCACCAGCTTGCTCTGTGTTATGAGAAGAAGAAGAATAAGCTGCTTGGGAAAAGAGTCCGACCAGAGTCAGGTACTGCACTGTACTCTGTTTATACTCTCATCAGCAGGTAGGACCTGGTATAAAGTTCTTCCAGTCGGGTAAGTATTTGGACAGAGATACCATCTTTATTATTGTGCCTCTGCACACCACAGCAGGTCTCAAATAAAGCAATCAACATTTCAATTCAATTCAATTCAATTTTATTTATATAGCGCCAAATCACAACATAAGTCGCCTCAAGGCGCTTCATAGATACAGAGAAAAACCCAACAATTATATGACCCCCTATGAGCAGCACTTTGGCAACAGTGGGAAGGAAAAACTCCCTTTTAACAGGAAGAAACCTCCGGCAGAACCAGGCTCAGGGAGGGGCGGGGCCATCTGCTGTGATTGGTTGGGGTGAGAGAAGGAAGACAGGATAAAGACATGCTGTGGAAGAGAGACAGAGATTAATAACAGATATGATTCAGTGCAGAGAGGTCTGTTAACACATAGTGAGCGAGAAAGGTGACTGGAAAGGAAAAACTCAATGCATCATGGGAATCCCCTGGCAGTCTATGTCTATTGCAACATGTGAATACATTTTCAGGTTTAATCCAGTCTTTAAGTCTGACATCATTAGCTGTTTCTGGGCCCAAACTATGCTTCAGGACACTGCGGCTTCACTAAGTTACGAACGGTCTAAATTCTTTCATCTTTAATAAAATGTGCTGCTGCTTTACCAGGTGTAACAATTAAGTTTAACATCCAGGCATCCATGAGAAACAGGATTTATGACGTTTAATGGAGTTAGAAGTTAGCAGGAAGTTAGCTCGCTAGTGTCCCGAATTCTCTGATGTTGTGCTGAGAACAAACAACCAAGACTCAGAGCAGGTCCAGTCAATCGCTGCTGCGAAGATATCCTCCAAAACCATGTCCAAAACTCGAAAACGGAAAGATGGCGTTAAGTTACAAAGAGAAGGTGGGAACACTCACCGCTGTTGTGTCATAAAAAATCTAATGATCAACTTTGACATTTAAAGAGTTTAGATCGATCAGCTGTTTACATCACTCAGCACAAGCAGAACTGCAGCAGAAGACACATCGTCCACACTCAGAAGCATCTCTGTATAGTGACTGGTCTCATGATCTAAACAGGCAAATGTTCAGCGTTCAGACTGCAGGTGAAAAACAGTCAAACCAGATGTTTCCCGTTATGTTGAGATCAGCTCATCAAGTACACACCTACACAGCATGTTAACAAACCGTGAAAAAAGCCACACAAAAATGAATGATTGTAAGGGTTTCTATACATTAGTATGTACGAAGGGTATGTTGTGACTTACCTTCAAAATTACAGCGGTCCCTCGCTATAACGCGGTTCACCTTTCACCTCAGCTGCTTCCTGTTGTTCTCATTAGTGGGCCCATGATCGTATATAGCACATCCTGTTATAACCGTCGCTGTGCAGGCACATATGCAGTTACAAGCGAAACACTTCTAAGGCTCTATGCTGCGTATGTTCATTAGCTTCTGGTTTAATATGTCACTAATTAAAGCACTACCACCTAATATATTTCCCACACTAGTTTCCACCTAAACATGATATAGCATGTTCTGACTGAGAGATTTCTGACAAATTCAAACGTACAGCTCTGCTATCACTTCCAACATGGTATAATAGCTGGTATATAATGATGTGCTACGTGATCGCTAGCGACACAGCTATGTTAGCATAAACAGTGAAGCTGGAGGATGAATGCTAACTTTTTTCCACTCGATAAAAGTTAACGTGAGGGTTCCTGATGGTTAGAGACAAATGCAATTGCATGGCAGGATGCTGTAAACGGACCAAACTTCAGTCAGGAGAACAACTGAGATAATCCATCCACAATACGAGGTTAGTCACTAATATACTGCTGCTGGGCTGCAGTTACATCCTAAGGGTTTAAAATGAACAGCGGTAATAAAAACAGAGAGAGGCCGACAGCGATCATTGACTGATTTTAGGGGCTTGTTCGGATTAAATAGAACAAGATACAAAACATTAAAACAGCCTTAAACACAGAGGAGTTTGGACCGGAGCCGTGTTCATACGTCATCACTCAAAGACTGGACACAAGGGCGTGTTTAATATTTCCGTCAGTAACACCTGTTTTTATCCAATAGAGGTGCAGCATTGGACACGTCTTTGTATTCAGCATCTGGAGGAATCAGTGAGGCTCAAGAATGGTTTCAATGCTGCAAAAGCTCTGCTGGCTCTGCAGTACGCACAGAACTTTGAAAGAAGGAGGTCTGTTTACCTGTCAGTTTGTTCCAATGAAATATTCTGTGTTGGTTTTATGTTTATTTAAAAAAGCTGGTAGTAATGACACAGGTAGAAGAACGGTTGGACTAAACCTGACCAACGTGATCACTTATGGAATAAAACAGTGTTGAATCATATTACCAAAGCTGGAAACAAGTGCGTGAAGGAAACTTTGACCCCTGTGGTCACACCAACATTATGTCAGATTGGACAGTTTTACTCGACTGTATTGATGTTTCTACAGACAGTCATCAGATGGACTGTTGATTCCAAAAACATTTGATGCATTGATTCTTTTTGTGTCTAAGCTTTGTGTTTGTTGCTTCAGAGCTCAGCAGATGTTTGATGATGTGCTGCAGACATTAGAGGATGAACCTCCAGGCATCCGTCAGTACATCTACCGGTATTATGGAGAGTTCTGCTACTATCACACCCCTCAGAAAGACCTCGGACTCACCTATTACAAAAAGGTACGGATCGTCCAAAACTGCATTCAGACTGCAGGTGTGCATGCCAGGTGCAACCAGTATTAGCGAACGGGCCTCTGAGGCAGACGGACATTTGGAAAGTCGAGCTGTGGACAGTTAACCGTCTGCTAACATGTCCTGTGCTGCATCCAACAGGCTCTGGAGTTCTGCATCAACACATCACATTGGAAGCACTGTGTGAAGGTTGGCCAGCTTCTCACTCTGCTTTATCCAAAACTAATACAAACTCAACCTGATCTTAGTAAACAGGAAGTAACCTTCAGGTATTCTTTTGCAGAAACTGACGACGATAGCTGAGGGACGCCTCGAAAAGAATCCCAGAGACGCCGCATCCTATGGCATCCTGGGAGCAGTGGCCAGAGCTGAGGGCAATCGGAGCAGGGCTGTGAGAAATTATGAGCGCGCTCTGGAATTAGACGCCAACAATGACGAGTATCTGTCAGCCTTGTGGGAGCTGCGCCTGGATCTGACCGCACACAGGGAAGAGAAAGACCGCCCGGAGGAGAAGCTTCCAGAGGTCGTGTGAAAAAGTTTGTACCAGGACGGCCACCGTTTGAACGAGGTTCCAGAACCACAGCTCAGAAATGCTCGGCTACGTCACATCACACCTGGGAACCGCTACATCGATCACTACGGCCGTCTCCTTCTGTTTGTCTACCACCACTATGTCCGGTTGGTTAGCCACCACCTGTTTGTCCGTCTGTATCTGCAAGTCCCACAGGATCTTAGCTCGGTCATTCTCCACCACCTCCCATGTTGACCTCGGGGCTTCCAGATGTTTCTGTATACTATGCTAGCCACTTGGCTATTGCGTTCCATGTATGCCCTGCATGCTAGCATCTTGTCTCTGGGGCATCTTTACACAGCCTGCACCTGGGGTCTTACCTGGTGTGGCAGACCCCAGCCTCTAAAAAATAAAAGCAGCTTAAATGTTAAAGAAGAGTTTTTCTGGTCTTTATTTTTAATATCTGACATTTAAACAGCACAGTCATGGCACTCAAACTGGGCACTCCGCATCGACTCACCGGGTTGCCCAAAATCACAACTCTTCACATCAACATGATGAAAACAGTCCAACTCCACCCTGAAGACACTTTGGGCTTTTATTTTGAAGGTCTGCCTATCAGGTTGCAGCTGTACTTCCTCTCCTGATGGCCATAAAATGTTGTTTTATTTTATGTGTGTGTGTGTCAGTGCTGGGTGGTTTTGTGTGTGTGCGCTGCAGTAAAGTCCAGCTGTGTGTCCTCGGCGGCGGTCAGGGCGCACTCGAGTCTTCTCTGCAACTCGGCGTCAAGCAGCGTCGCTCCGACCACAAAATGATCCTGACACAAAGCAAAGCGATAGTCGGTCATCATGACTCACTAAAGTTTAAAATATTTTAGTTTGACTTTCAAACCTTCTTCTTGAGGCTTGGTGATGCTACAGGGGGGTTAAAGGTCATATCTTTGATGCTGTAGTCGTCAAACAGCTCCACAGATGACCTGCAGGGGGCAACGTTCACACTTCAGAAAAACTAAACTTTTAAAGGAGCAGTACACCGTTTTCACTGATCCTCACACAGGCTGAGCTTTCTGATTAAACACAGGTGATGTGTGTGTGTACCTGCGACTCAGCTCCACACTGAGCGCCGCCGAGCCTTCAGAGGGAGCGCCCTGACTCAGGTGGACTGCAAACCGCCGCACAACCGGGTGGTAATGTCTCTGAAAGCGCACAAACACCGCGCAGCTACATTCAGAAACACGTGGGGCCATGTGTGCACCTGCATACCTGTGTGTGTGTCTGCAGTGTGTGTGTGTACCTGCAGTGTGTGCATACCTGTGTGTGTGTGTGTGTCTGCAGTGTGTGCATACCTGCAGTGTGTGTAGCTCCCACAGTGCTGTGTTCTGAGCGTTGCAGTGTTCAGGTTCGTCGAGCTCCGGCAGGTAGAACCCACTGCCCTGAATCTCGTTGTCCAGCAGGAAGTCACACTTTGGGAAGGACTGAGAAAGACACACACACACACACACACACACACACACACACAAAATACACACGTCAAACTTCTACCTGTACAACTACTTGAATTACTGACAGCTGTTAGGTAACCACACCTCTTTTCAAGTGACTGAATCAGACTTTTATATAGCAACAAATCACGACAGTCACATCGAGGTGCTTCATGCTGTAATGTAAAGAGTGTAGGAGCGTCCACTAACACAGAGAAAACCCCTGACATCACGATCGATGAGTAAGCACTCTGCCGACAGTGGGACCGGGCGGGGAGGAGTTCTGCTCAGGGAGGGTCGGCGGTTGGGGACGAGGGGACGAAGACAGGATGTCAACACACACGTTCAGACTCACATGCATCGTGGCTCGGTTGGCGGCAAGAATTCCCACGCTGGCGTTGGGCATTACGTGCAGACTGATCGTGCTCAGTCTTTTGACAAACGCCATCGCCCTCTGTAGGGTCACCTGCTTCCTGCGGCGGGTCAGCATTGCGTCCAGACACCGCAGCACAATGATGGCGTCATCGTTGGGCGCCCCTGAGGGATTCAAAGCGTGGCTGTTAAAACAATCATGTGACGTGTGACGTCATACTGCCGGTTCAAAGTGAGGCTAACTGACCTGCGTGGAGCCTGGGCAGCAGTTTATATAACTGGGAGTAAAAGTTGAGCGGGTCGATGTTCAGGACGTCACCTGATACACAAACAAACTTTATTGATCCAGGAAACTCAACAGGAAGTGACATCATGTGCAGGAAACACACCTGACTTTTCAAAGAGTTTTAAAAATTATTTATTGGTCTATCTCAGTGAGAATAAACTGTAGCCAGTGCTATTGCTGAGCACATGTGCCTCTGTGAGCCTAACACGAACACATATGTTTGTCTATGTCACTGGGAGGGGACCCTTACATATTCCCAGGACTACAATCCAAGTCTGAACCTTTAAAACAACTCGTTATTGCAGCTTAAATTTAATAAACATCCACAAATGTCTCGACATTGATACACAAAGAAGGTCCTGACTTCTTGTGATCATATAACAAAAATATTTAAAATGGCCTCAAAGGTCTTCATCAGACTAAGGTCTTCACAAGTCAGATATACGAGCACACACACAGAGTCTGACCTTGTCCTGACAGGATGGTGAAGACGGTCTGGATGCAGTGCAGCGTCTCCTTATTGGACAAATCCTGCAGGTATAAATAAAGAAACAAAAATAAATAAAGAACTATTTGTGACACCAAACTAGCAGGTGACTCTGCAGGGGGCGGGGTCAAACATGAACACTCACTCCTGCTTGGATGAGGTCCTGCAGCACGTTGAGCAGGTCATCAAAGAACTCCAGGTTGATGAGGTGAGCAAAACTGACAGGAAATGACATCATATTCAGCACTATAGTAGTACTACAGATTGTGTGTGTGTGTGTGTGTGTGTGTGTGTGTGTGTGTGTGTGTGCGCGTCGTATCTGGCGAGCCCCTCCAGAACTTGCGAGGGAGCAGAACTGATTTTGAGCCTTCTTCAAAATCCTGAAGTAAATGAGGAAGACGATGTTCAGCGTCTCTGTGTGCTGGAGAGGAAGAGCAGAGGGGTGAGGAGGAGGAGGAGGAGGAGTGTCCTTCCTCTCACTGTACACGCTCGTGACCTTTCAACTCACCAGCTTGATCTTCTTGTCTTTGCTCTCTGAGGCTTCGGCTTCCAGCAGCTCCTTCTCCAGCTTCTCCTCAGCCTTCTTCGAGCACACACACACACACACACACACACACACACACACACACACACACACACACAGGTTGGTGTCTCTCACTGCCCCCTGCTGGACGGACTGAGAAATCCCTGAGCATCAGCTCATCACAGAGGAAGTTGTTGATGCTTCTTATATTAATGCTCATAGACTTCAGTGAATTCGCACGAGCATGTAGAAACATTTTATTCTGACTCACATGTTCTTCTCGTGTTTTTGTTACTTTGCTAATATTTCCTCAGGTTATTGTAAGAATTGTTTTTTATATTTTGCCCCAGTAACATTAACTTTTCATTGACACATTCTCTTATTCTCACATTATTATGTTTGGAGTTTATTTTAAATTAAAAATATCTTTTACACGTTTGGCCCATATTTGGATCCTTTGTTTACCTTGTGATCGTGAGCAGATCATCTCTTTGTGCTGATGTTTCTGGCACAAACGTTTGAACGAACACGTGTTCCTGTTTCTAAAGCCTGAGTTTCTCTGACTGTTCGTCTGCTGCTGCAGCTCCAGCCCTTAAAATGAACGAGGCCTTGTTAACGGGGCTGTCGGGGGCGGAGCCGACCGCTGAAACAACCAATAAGGACTCGGTGCGAGGGTTTACCTTCCTCTGCATCCTCGACAGGTTCTTCTTCCTCTCCTTGTTGGTCATGAACTTCTTCTTTGGTGCCGCAGCCTCGATGTCCTTCTTCATCTCCACCTCTTTAATCCTCAGACTCAGCAGCGTCCGCAGCAGCTGGAGGGGGCGGAGTTAACAGCGTCTGATTAATAATTTATCAACAGTCTTCTCGGAGTGGGCGTGGCCTGGATACGTTTCGTTCGTTACCTCGGGTCGGACGTTGTAGTTCAGGCTCTTCACGAGGCCGGAGATAACTCGCACCGTGGCCAGCGAGGCCCCGCCCGCTCTGTCCTGCTGGAAGAGCTTCCTGAACGCGTCACAGCACACGCCGGACACCTGAAACACAAAGAGCACGTGAAGCCGTCGCACAATGCTGGGCTGGGCTGCGGCGCCTATGAGACTCACCTTCTTGGTGGAGTCGTTCATCAGCGGCGCCAGGACGACCACAATGTTGTTGTGGAAGTTGAAGTGAGGCAGAGCGACGAGCAGCTCGCACAGGCAGCGGACGGCGACCTCAGCCAGCCCGCCGTACGCCTGCAGCGCCACCGCCTGACTGCGCTTCTTCTTCTTCTGCTTCCAGTCTGTGGGCGGAGATGAGCGGTCAGGGCGCCGTGAGGTGTGCGGGTGTCAGTGTGTGGCTGTTGCTACGGTGACGGAGGCGTACCTTTGACAGTCTGCTCCAGGTCCTCCAGGTAGAACTTGTACTGACTCACCAAACCCTCCTCGAACTCTCGGAGCACCTGCGTCTCCTTCTTCACCTGGAAGACGGCGAGCGGCAGAAGCAGCAGGTTAAAACGTGGCGACTGTGGCGACCTGCCGCCAGGCGCTTCCTCTACAAACAAACTCACAAACGCACCTTAGCGGTCTTCTCCGCCGAGGTCAGAGGTCGGATCCTGTAGGTGGGGGCGATGTCTTTGAAGACCTCCATCAAAGAAACCATCACCAGCTTTCTGACCGTCACCGCCACGCTGGGGTCGGCCTCCATCAGCATCCCCCGCAGCTCCTTCACGCGCTTTATCTGTCACACACGACGTCACGTTAAACACACACATACACGCCACGAGCCTGATCCCAGAACGGCGCCCGGCCTTACGCTGCCGATGGGGTCCGACACGATGGCCGACGCCAGGCCGGCGATGGTCAGCTTCCTCTCGTTAAGCTTCTGATTCCTGAGCCGCTCTCTCTGCGCCGGCGTCATCTCCTGGCAGCTCGGTGGCTCCGCCTCTGCAAGGAGGACACGTGACAGGTGAGAGGACGCCTCAGCCTCGTCACGGAGGCGTTTACCCCGCCGTGCCTGCGGAGTTTAATTCTTATTCCAAAAGTTCTGATCGCTTTTCATACCTGTGTCGACGTCATCAGGCTCCTCCTCCTGCTCCTCCCCCTGCTCCTCCTCCTCCGGCTGCTTCTCCACCACTGAAAGAACAGAGGGAGACGTTTCGACACAGCCGCACAGAACCAATCAGATCGATCAGGGATCAACGCAGCACGCCGTACCCCTCTCGACGCTCTGTGGGATCACGCCCGTCTTGTCTTTGATCGGCAGCAGGTGAATCACTTCCTTTTCCTCCGTCCTCGCCATCTTCCTGGGAACCTTCTCGTAGCTGCGAGCTACGTCCGATTTCCGCTTTTTCCCGCCATGCACCGGCCCGCTGGGACGCCCCGCCGCACCACACAAACGCACCTCAGTCACTGCGCATCACACCTGCTTCTGTATCTAAATATGGTTTGTGTGTGTGTGTGTTGGAGTTACCATGACGACAGGTCCCTGGTGATGAAGGACGCCTGGCGAGCCATGGCGGTCATCTGCTGCAGGTCTTCCTGCTCCATCATGTCTGTGGGTAGACTCTCCAGAAACTCCTCCTCCTCCTCCTCCTCCTCCTCTGTACGAGCAGGAGCAGGGTCAGACAGTTCTGGTCTCTGATTGGTTTACAGCAGATGTTAGTAATCACGTGATCGTTTGCCGCTCACCTGGTCTCTTCCTGTACGTCTCCAGGGGGCGGGGCGTTTCGCCGACGGCGCCCTTCACCGCCTGCCTCAGCCTTTTCTGCTCCTTGCGTTGCTTCTTGGCGACGTTCTGCTGCTTCAGCTGGCGGTTCTTCAGCTTGTTCTCCAGCTTCACGCCGCTCGTCTTCAGCAGGCGGCGAAACGTCGGCCGCCGCTTCTTCGAGCGAGGCTGCGGAGCGTCAGAGGAAAGAAGGAGAGGTGTTCAGCAATGATGTCACGGTCCATGCAGGCTCTGGCTTGGATCCTGTGAACACCTGACGCCGTGTGACCGACTCTAAACCGACCAATCAGAGACAAACTCAGCGTCGAGCTGCTGATTTACTGGACTCACTGTGGGCGTGGCGCTCAGACGCTCTGCCGCCTCAATACTACCTCACACTACACGGTACTATCTCAGTCCCAGGTACTTAAATTTAATAATCAAAATTTTAATCATATACGTAATTACTTAAATATGAATGTTGCAAAAACTTATTTTTACTCAATGATCATCTCTCATATGGACTACTGTTTGACGTCCTGGTCACTTGCTTGTCCAACAACACTTAAAACTATTGAAAACATTTATAAAAGAAGTTTAAAACTACTTGACAAAAACCGACCTCCCACCACCACTGTCATGTGTTAAAAAAACATAAATTACTGAACTTCAATAACTTAGTGAAACTTAAAAGAGTGAGTTTAATATATAAAGTCTTACACTCCCTTGCTCCACCACCACTGAAGCAGTTCATTAGGCATAAAGAAAGCTCAGACAGGACCACTCGAGCTACAATCCGAGGAGACGTGTTTATACCCCACAGACGGACAGCATTTGGGCAGAACGTCCTCTCTGTCCAGGAGGCCATCTGTGGAACAGTCGCCCTCAGCCCATTAGAGAATGCTCGACATTCAATTTGTTTAAGGCAAAGGTTAAAAACTGGTTATGGACAAATCAAGTGTGTGATCATGTATGAGTTGTATAGTTTTAATGTTTTATTTGGGAACAGAATGGTGTGTATGTGTGAGTTTGGTGATGGAGTTTTTATTATGAATGAATGATGAATTTTTATGAAATATTATGTCTATTTTTTTATGTTTAAGGACAACAGATGGAAATTAGCCTTTGGCTATAATCTGGTATGTTTACATTCATGTAATTTTTTTTTTACATTTATGTTCATTAACATGCACTGTCCTAAATAAATAAATAAATACTACACTGTACTACCTCTCACTTCCTGGTACTACAGGACACTACATGTGCTACGTAGCTGGGTGGATGATGAGGTGTGTTTCTTTCCTGAGTGGGACACAGAGTGGCTGACTCCAGGCAGACCATCAGACACTGAGTCCTTCCACGTGAGCGTTTGTGATGTTGTCAGGCGTAAAGCAGCAGCGGGCTCTGATGGAGGCGCCATCACCGTGTGTGCTCGGACCACACTCCGTTCAATGCGCCGTTATTTTGGGGCTCTGGTATCCCTCTGAACACCCGGGAGCTGTTTTAAAATGAGTCTGACTCTAAAATCGTGGGTTTTCTGTGGACTCGGGCTGTGAGGACAGACGCTTTGAGCATGTTTGTTCTCTCAGACCAGACTCCGTTCATTAAACGGCGGATTTAAGCCTCTCACTCACCGGGCCCATGGCTGCAGGACGTTCCGGTGTCTCCGATGTGTCAGGCCGGACTACAGTCGTTCCCGCTCGGTCACTTTGGTTCGGAGTGTCGGAGTGTTTTGGTGCCGAGATGCGGGTTGCCTCCACACGTTGCTCTCCAAAAACCCGGAAACAGAAAAGTAACAGCCCTTCTGTGACGAGAGGACAGCGCCCCCCGCGGCCGGAGGACAGGACCAGTTTTTTCTGCTGGACTGGAGCGCGTCTCAGACGGCCCACGGCTCTCCGCGAGGCCTCCACGGGGAGATTTACCGATGTTGCTTCAAACAGACTCAAGAGAAAAAGTGTGTGTGTGTAATCTGATTATTTTCTCTCGGATTCAGACTCCCTGAGGTCCTGCCATGCTTTCTGGACGTGTTCTCTATGCACCTTCCAGGACCTTGAAACGTTCTTGAGGACCTGAGGTGGAGTAGTTCATGTGACACGGAACACGTGATGACTGCGCATTCAGTAGACTAACAGCTGGAGGGTTTGTCATTGTCCATATTTTAAGGGAGTTTTCTTTACGATGGGAAAATGTTTTGTTTCTTTAAGTTCCCCAAGAAGAATGATAAATGTTTTTGTATGATAAATACTTTTAGCTAAATTTCTTATCCATAAATGTAAGTTTACTAACAAAACACCATATTTCTGTCATTATTTTAAGGATGTGGAAATGTACATACAATCAATATCAGACTCCACCAACAAAAAGGCTCAAAACAATACATGTATGTGAATTTTTGCGTGTATTCTTATAATTGTTACTTTTTTCTATTTACCCCTGGCTTTGTGTGTTCATTTTGTTGTTTTGTATACTTCATCTGTTCGTATGTTGTATACTCATTGTTTGTTAAATAAAGTTAAAAAAAAAACAAACAGCTGGAGGATGACCCTTCACCTGCTCCGCAGGCTGACACCTGAAGTTTACTAAAATACACTTTGTGAATGACCAGAAACGGATCAAAGATCAGACTCCTGCTGTGGGCGTGAAACTGACCTGGGTGCAGTTTCTCTGCCCCCGGGTTCACGTGGCGCTCAGCTGGCCATCACATAAAGGGGCGGGGCCACCAACAGCTGACCAATCACATTGATTATTGTACCAACAGCTGACTTTATAAAGGAGGGCTAACCTGACATCAGACACACACTTGGTGGATCAGGGAGCTGTGGATGTGTGAAACAGCTGCTGTGCTAATAAAGTTTGAGTGTTTGAAGGCGTGCTGGTGTGAGGGACCAGCCTGATCACCTGCGATTCACAGGACAGCGGCGTTCTGTGCGGCGCTCGCTGACATCACACCCAAACCACCTTCTGTGACCATGCCCCCACCTTTTAAAGTATTAACATTTATTTTGGCCAGAGGGGCCGATGGCGCGATATGGCAGCCTCGCTTCTGTCAGTCTGCCCCAGGGCAGCTGTGGCTACACCTGTAGCTGCCTCCACCAGTGTGTGAATGTGAGAGTGAATTAATAGTAAAGCGCTTTGGGTGCCTAGAAAAGCGCTATATCAATCCAATCCATTATTATTATTATTTTTTTTCTCATTAACTTTTTATACTTTATTCTGGATGGGCCTCAGGAATGTGCTGACAGGTGTGCTGCACCTGCTGATGAAACAGGAAGCTGCAGTCGCTCACCTCGTGCTCCTCAGATTGATCACCAACACTTTTTATTGATTATTATTATTATTATTATTCTTCATGGATCTGTCCTGCAGGATGTTTGTCTTCTTACGTCACTTTATAAAAATGATAAACAAACATTTCAGAACAAAAATAAACGTTTTCTTTTATTTTGAAAGGTCACTTCATGTCATCAAAACCTTTTCAAATTAAAGTTCACGTCTGAGTATTATCAGTGTTCACAGTGACCTCAGTGATGACATCATGCGTAAGCCGAAGCGGCGCGCCGTCCCATTAAGGCAGCAGGTGGACAGGTGTGCTCCTGCACAGGTGTCTGCGGTCCATCTCTCTGAAACCATCGACTCAGATTGCAACCAATCAGAGTGTAAGGAACAGCCAGAGTCTGTTTGCCAAATCAGAGGCCCCGCCCCCGCACACTCAAGCCCTCCGGGCCCTTCAGGCATAGCCGCACTTGTGCAGCTTCAGGTTGCGCTGGTCGGCGTAGCGTTTGCCGCAGCGGTCGCAGATGTACTGCTTCCCACCGGCGTGCAGGTGGCGTTTGTGCGTGCGCAGGTGGCTGCCCTGGCTGAAGCTCTTGCCGCAGACGTCGCAGGCATACGGCTTCTCGCCCGTGTGCACGCGTGTGTGCAGCTTCAGGCTGTTGCTGTTGTTGAACTTCTTGTCGCAGGCACCGCACGCAAACGGCTTCTCGCCGGAGTGTGTGCGCCCGTGCGAGATCAGGCTGCTCTGCTGGCTGAACGTCTTCCCGCACTGGCGGCAGCAGAAGGGCCGCTCGCCCGTGTGCGTGCGGCGGTGGATCTTGAGGTTCACCGCCTGCCGGAAGCTTTTCCCGCAGAGGTCGCAGGTGAAGGGGCGGGCGCCGCTGTGTGTGCGCTGGTGGTTCCTGAGGTTGACGGCGTGCCGGAAAGCTTTGTGGCACTGCTCACACCTGAACGGCTTCTGGCCGCTATGGATCAGCTGGTGCGTGCGCAGCGTGACGGCGCGCGTGAATCCCTTCCCGCATGCCTTGCACACGAAGATCTTGGCGCCTGCGTGCGTCCGCTTGTGGCGCTGCAGGTTCTGCGGCAGATTGAAGCGGCGGCCGCACTGGTCGCAGGCGTGCGGCTTCTCGCCCGTGTGCACGACGGCGTGTGCTTTCAGTTGGCCCTGCTTGGAGAAGCGTTTGCCGCACTGCGGGCACTCGAAGGGCCGCTCACCCGTGTGCGTGCGCATGTGGCTCTGCATGCCCTGCCGCTGGCGGAAGGCGCGGCCGCACACGCTGCACAAAAATGGCTTTTCTCCCGTGTGCACGCGCAGGTGCGTATTGAGGTTGCTCTGAGATGAGAAGGACTTCCCGCACGCCGTGCATGTGAAGTACTTCCAGGTGACGCTCTCCAGCACGAAGCCCGCCGGGCTCGTCACCTTCGATGGGGACAACAGCCGCTCCGACTCGTCCGGTGGGGCCGCCTCCACCTCGGCTCCTGAGAGAATAAGCACAGCTGATCAGACCATCACACATGCGGGCGTACTTCCTGCCGCGGTCGAGCACTCACTCTCTGCGATTGCGCCCAGGTTAATGTTCCCGTGCTCGTCCTTAATGGTGACCGCCAGCACCAGCGGCGTCTCCTGCTCCTCCTCCTTCGAACTGGTCTGCAGGGATACATATACATACACTCAGTCACGGTCAGTGAACGCAGCACAGGTGAGCCAGAGCAGCAGGCTTACCTTAGGGGGCGTGGCTGAGTCGCCGTCCTGCTGCCGGAGTCCGTACGAATGCTCGAGCTCTGCCACAAACATAACACAGTGAGGGTGATGTCACTGAGGTGGAGTCTTCGGGCGGGGCCAATACTTACCTATATGGGCGTTGCTGAGCACGTTGAGTACGCTCGTCTGCAGTCGCCGGGCGCCGCGGCCTGACGGCGGCTCCGCCGTCAGCCCGACTTCATCCAGCAGGTTGAGGATCTTCCCCAGAGCCTCGTTCCCCAGAGTCTCCATGATGGAGGCGAACAGCACCTGAGGTCAGAGGTCACACACCGTCACCATGACAACGGTCAAAACTATACAACCACCACCAGCTACAGTCTGGGCCACCAGTCACACCAACACACCAGTTAGCCTGGGCCACCAGTCACACCA